AATTTAGCCTGTTCAAATAAATAGAAGGTTTCTATAGATTAAATTTGGTAGTTTCTTCTGGCCTGGTTTTGAGTAACCCAATGGTTAGGGTTAGTGATGTATTATACACAGGAGGGCAAAGGGATCTGGATCCTGTTTCAAATGCCAGTTAGTTAGTTGTTGTCCTTCATGATGTCAGGAGAAGGCTCTACCACAGGTCAGGCACAAGTAGTCCTTTTGAATATTTAAGTGGAGATGTCTCTAAATTTGCGTATCTCACATTTATTTTGAGCTACTGCAATTTGGGGTATGGTCTTTTTTCACAAAAATCATCTTCTAATATCTTATCATGGCATAGAATGACCTTGGATCCTTGAAGGCTATGCCAATGGAGTGCAAACCATGACAGATTTTATCATTCGGGAAAGAAGGCAAATACAATAGCTTTGAATTAGATGAGTTCAAATTGGAGGGAGCTATCTAACGAAGAGATCCAGAAAGGTACAGTCTTTGGCCCTTGTGCTGGTCAATATTTTAATCAATGACTTGGATGAAAATATAGATGGCATAATTATTATATTTCAAATGATATGAAATTTGGAGGAATAGTTACACATTGGATGACAAGAGTCACAATCCATAGCAGTCTCAATAAACTCAATCAATTGAATTCAAACTGAATATTTAATGGATATACATGAAAAATTCCATAGGAGTTTTGCAAGTCTATCTTCATCAGTCCATAATGGGGCAGGGAGTGTAGCTGGACAATAGTTCTGTGAAAAAGATCTGAGGGTTTTAGTGGACTGCAAGCTCAATGTGAATCAACTTTGTAATATGGTAGCCACAAAAGGTAATACAATCTGAGACTGATTCAGGGAGGCATTATATCCAGAATAAGGGAGGAAAAGGTTCTGACATACTTTGCCCTGGTCAGAACTTATTTGGAGAATTGTGTTAAGTTCTGAACACTAGTTTAGAAAAGGCATAGATAAGCTGATGTATGTCTAGAAAGTAATTATGATGTTGAGTAGACTATAAACCTATCATAAGATCATCAGTTGTAGGAACTTGGACATTAAGCCTGTAGAAGAAATATTTAGAAGGAACATAAGAGCTGCCCTCAAATATTAAAAGGATTACAATTTTAATGATTTTTTTCAATTATACGTAAAAATCATTTTAACATATATATTTTTAAATTTTGAATTCCAAATTCCTTCTCTCCTTCCCTTCTCTCCCCACTCATTGAGAAAGCAAGCAACTTGGTACAGGCTGTACCTGTGCAGTACTACAAAGTCTATTTTCATATTAGTCATGTTGTGATAGAAAATATAGACCAAAAACAAACAAATAAAAAAAAACCCAAGAAAAATAAAGAAAGTTTAAAAAAAAGTATGCTTTGATCTGCATTTAGACCCCATCAGTTCTTTCTTTGGGGGTGAATAGCATTTTTTCATCATAAGTCCTTCAGAATTGTCTTAGATCATTGAATTTTTGAGAATAGCTGTCATTCACAGCCGATCATCTTACAACATTGCTGTTAATGTGTATGCTCTTCTCCTGACACTGTTGACTTCACTTTGCATCAGTTCATGTAAGTCTTTCCAGGTTTTTCTGAAAGCAATCCTGCTCATCATTTCTTTCTTTATTCTTTCTTTTTTTTTAGGCAATTGGGGTTAGGTGACTTGCCCTGCTCATCATTTCTTATAGCACAATAGTATTCCATCACAATCACATACCATAATTTGTTTAGCCATTCCCCAATTGATGGACATCCCCTCAGTTTCCAATTCTTTGCCACCACTCAAAGAGCTGCTATAAATATTTTTTTTTGTATATATAGGTCCTTTTCCTTTTTGTTTTTTATCTCTTTGGGATACAGACCTAGTAGTGGTATTGCTTGGTCAAAGGTATGCATGGTTTTGTGTAGCCCTTTGGACATAGTTTCAAATTGCTCTCCAGAATGGTTGGATCAGTACACAACTCCATCAACAGTGTATTAGTGTCCCAATTTTCCCACATCACCTCCAACTTTGTTTTTTTTTAAACTGTCACATTTATTATACTGTAAAATACAATGATTATCCCTCAAGTTCCTGTCTCTTGATAAAAGGGTATGAGCTGATTTTTTTAAAAGTAAAAGTCCAAAAGAAATTAAATGTCTCTTTTACTCATAGATTCTTCAGGGATCCTGTAGCACCACCCACACCTTCTTTCATGGCTATATCACTTCTGAGGATGATTCCCAAGAAGTGGGTTAGAAGACCATGAAGCTGATTCCAGGTTCCAGGCACCTCTGGGCCAGAACCCTTCCCATATTCTCACTGGCATTGACACTTCGAGCTCTGTAGAGGTGCTTCTTAATGGCCCATTCTCGGGTGGATGCTGAAAGCACAACATCCCCATTATGATGCTCAACAAATGCTTCTATGTGGTGCTGGGTCCGATGAGCTCGCAACCTGAGCCAAAGGGCCCGGGGCAACCACACGGTTGCCCAGCCCCGTTCGGTCGGTGAATTCCGGCGCGATCGCCTCATTTTCCTTCGCGTCCCCCTCAGGGGCCGGGGCTGAGTTTGGGCTGGTGGTGAGGGCGGCCGACTGAAACCCGGGCTCCCTGCGGAGAGCCAGCAGATTCCGGCCCCGCGGCCGCAGTGCCATCGTGCCGATGACCTCCAGGCAAGCGGCCTCCGCAATCGGCTCTGTATAGCTCCAGGGAGCAGCGGGGCCTGCCTGGACGCAGCCACGTTGGTTCAGAGCCTCCAACTTTGTTCTATATTTACACTAAACCTATTTGTCCTATTGTCAGTAAAGCTAGGAATTTATCAGTGGAGTAGCAAGGATCCACTGGGGAAAATTTCAAGTGTCCCGTGTGTTCGGTGATCTCAAGGAAATGTTTTGTCCAGTTCTCTAGTGAAATCACCCTTTGTGTTTCTGGGATCCTTGGACAAATTTCAGTGTGCCTTGTATGTTGAAGGGATACCTGAAGATATTTTGTCTGGACCTCTGATTGCATTAGCCTGTGTGATAAGGGAGGCAGCTAGGTGGTGCAGTGGATAGAGTGCCAAACTTGAAGGCAGGAAGACTGTCTTCCTGAGTTCAAATCCGGTCTGAGACACTTACTAGCTGTGTGATCCTGGGCAAGTCACTTAACCTTGTTTGCCTCAGTTTCCTCATCTGTAAAATGAGCCGGAGAAGGAAGTGGCAAACCACTCCAGTTTCTTTGCCAAGAAAGCCCTGGATGGGGTCATGAAGAGTCTAATGTGACTGAAATGACTGAACAGCATCGACAATAATGTAGATTCAAATCAGGCAGTCAGTAAGAGAGATCGCAGGTTCAGAAACCTGCTTTGGGGAGCAAATGAGTGTACACAGCCTTTTAGTATTAGAAATAAAAGTAGAAGGAACTGAGAAGACTAAATAAAGACTTATTAGCCATTTATAAGTATTGAAGGGATTGTAATGTAAAAAGAACAGATTAGTGCACTAGTCTCATACTGGGGGCAGTCATGGGGTGCAGTGGCTAGAGCGCTGGGCTCGAAATTAGGAAGACTTATCTTCATGAGTTCAAATCCAGCCTCAGACACTTACCAGCTGTGTGATCCTAGGTAAGTCACTTCACCCTGTCTGCCTCAGTTTCCTCATCTGTAAAACGAGCTGGAGAAGGAAATGTCAAACCACTCCAGTCTCTTTGCCAAGGAAACACCAAAAATTGGGTAACAAAGAATCAGATGTGACTGACCTACAACAAGTTCCATATTCTTGCTTTTTTTTAAAGGCAACTGGGGTTAAGTGACTTGCCCAAGGTCACACAGCTAGTAAATGTCAAGTGTTTGGTCTGAGGTCAGATTTGAACGCAGGTCCTCCTGATTTCAGGGCTGGTGCTCTATCCACTGCGCCACCTAGCTGCCCCTCCATATTGTTTTAGGAGGAAACATTATGACCTACAAATGAAAGTTATAAAAAGACATTTCTAACCGATACAGACATATAATAATATAAAAAAAGTTGTTCAGTTGATTATCTCACTAGATAGTGAACCCCACATAAGGGTCTGCTGGTGAATGTTTAATTACTGGCTTTCTGAAAGGAAAAAAACAATTAAGGTGACACACTCTTAAATGTAATCTGCCTTATTAACATTTTCTCCATCACTTTCTTAAGCCTAGAAAATCAATAAAACAATAAAGTGGGCCCTGATCTTAGTGTCTGGTGATTTCTGAGCACCTCTCTAGATCTGGTTCTAATGGGCTTCAGCTCACTCCTGACCCCATGGAGCTGAAGCTATTCAAGGTGAGGCTTGATGCTAAATGCTGTCTGAGATGCTAGAAAGGATGGCTGGCCATACTTCTGGTGAGGTTAGACTAGATCTCTAAAGTCTTTTTCAACTTTTAACTTTTCTATTGCACCACAGTGTTTAGTCAGGATATTAGGACACTTAGGTATGTCACAAACCTATCTCTCGCGGCAGGCTGTATCCTGGTTTCCTAACTTCCCTTTACTTGGTTTGGTCCATGGAAATTATGGTTTTAAAAAAAAAGATATTAACAATCATGGAGGGACAGATAGGTGGTACAGTGGATAGAGCACTGGCCTTGGAGTCAGGAGGACCCGAGTTCAGATCCAGCCTCAGATACTTACTAGCTGTGTGACCCTGGGCAAGTCTCTTAACTCTGATTGTCTCCAAAAAACAAACAACCCAATCACAGAAAGAAGTCAATGTGTTGATATATGTGTGTGTTCATAACTGGTCCTATTTAGAATAGTTAGTCACCCCCCACAACAAGATTTAAAGGATGCTTTTAAAGAAATATTTCAAGCCTAAAGGTGATAGTACTCATAATCAAACCTCAAACCACTCTGAATGAGATTTTCCTTACTTTCTAATAAGCCACATCTCAGAACTGTTGTGGCAACATTATTGCTACCACCAATCTCTGCAGAATACCTGGATTTCTGTAGCTCTAGTGACCTAGAAAAGAATGCAAGTAATTTTTCCTCCTATAATTCAATCAAGACACAGCGGTGTGGAAAAGTTTTATCAGGTAATTAAGAAAAAAATAAAATAAAAAAAATAAAGTACATAAGCTTAGGATGAGCAAGTTTGTAGAAAAATAGAAGGCACCTATTGAATTTTTTTCTCATGAACCTCTGCCTTCAAATCTCTTTTTCTAAGTCCTGGGCATTTCTGCCTCTAACCAATGCCCTCTCTTTTGAGTCCGGAGTCCTTGATAGCTTTAAAATTTCACAGGTGTTCCACCCAGTGAAGAGGAGGTTTGAGAGGCACTTCTCTCCTTGACCTTAGTGTGTGTGTGGGAGGCACATCCCTCTCTCCTCACCTTAGGGAGTTGTGCCAAAATAATGGGGATTACGAGGCTCTCTTCTCACATATCCATCGACGGGAAATCTCACAAGATGACTTGTCCGGTAGACTGAGCCCTATAGTCACGCAGTCAAAATTTGGTATGTAGTTTGTAAAGCTGGATGGAGAGAGAAGGGAAGGTCAGGATGCAGCTACGCGATGAGGCATTAGAGCCACGACCCAGACTTGACTGGGTCTCATTCTTTGGTACTTCCTGTTGGTAAGCTGTTGCTCAGACCACTCTACACGAACGGAATTCCCTACATCTCCCCTGCCCCTTCTTTTCCAACTATCCACGGCCCTTGTCTGCTTTGAAACCTGGCTCAAAACTTACTTTCTCAGTCCATATGGACAAACGTTTCTCAAAGTATAATAAGTGGTGTTCATTGTTTTGGAATTCACATAGAAACAAAGTTTAAAATGGTGATTAGGTTCCTAGAATATTCCACAAAAGCCTATTTTGTGCATAATGTGTTTGAAACATAGAAGTAATTATGCTAGCTTCAGTTTCGGGGCCTCAGGAAGGCAAGCCTTTCAGGAAAATGGAACAGATAGTGAAGAAGAAAATAGAGAAAGAAGAGGAATACAGTTTGTCTTTGGCACCCTTCCTTCTTCCTTTATGCAATCATCTCCCACCAACTAGGTGACTCTTGCTTGGCTCCTAGTGTGCTTATCTGCCTCTCTCCTTCTGCTACACCTCACTTAGGTTTGTGTTACCCTGAAAAGTATTTCATGCTCAAAAATAATCCACAGCTTCCATTCCATTGTTGTTCAGTTATGTCTGACTCTTTGTGACCCCATTTGGGGTTTACTAGGCAAAGATACTGGAGTGTTTTGCCACTTCCTTCTCCAGTTTCATTTTACAGATGAGGAAACTGAGACAAACAGGATTAAGTGGCTTGACTAGGGTCACAGAGCTTGTAAGTATCTGAGCTCAGATTTGAACTCAGGAAGATAAGTCTTTCTGACTCCATGCCTGGCGCTCTATCCACTGCACCACCTAGCTGCCCCTCCAGCCCATCAGGGTCCATAATCTCATCTAGATTTTTAGGAAGAATGCATTTTGAGAAAAGTGGTTCACATTGAGTTATAATTAGCCCCTTAACCCTGCTTAAATGAATCTCTAATTGTTAGAATTGTAGAAAGTATAATAAAGTGAAGTGGAAAAACTCAGGGGGTAGGGATAATTAAATATTTGGAGCAAAAATACCACTTTCTGGGATACTGCCACTCTGTCAATTCTTCTGAGCTGTTCTGCTCTTTAAAAAATGTTTCTCCCACTTTTGAAACAATAAGTTCTTGAAAATTTCCAATGGCATCTATGGCTACAGCAGCTGGGTAGTAAGGGTGGGTACATAATACCGAGAGGTAAAGAACAGCAACAACTATTTGTAGGTGGGGGTACAAGGGACCTTGGATGTTATATAATCCAATCCTCTCATTTTAAGATGGGAAAACGGAAATCAAGTGACTTGCTTAGGGTCAGAGAAATAGTAAATAGCAAATCCAAGATTCAAACCCAGGTGCTCTGACTTTAGATCCAGAGAGGTGGTGCAGTAGATAGAGCACTGGGCCCCAGGTCGGGAAGAACTGAGTGCAAATCCAGCCTCAGCCGATTCCTAGCTGTATAACCCTGAGCAAGTCACTTATGCTTTGTCTTCCTCAGTTTTCTCAATGTAAAATAGGGATCATAATAGCACCTAACTCCCAAAGTTGTTATGAGGCTCAAATGAGATAATGTTTTTAAAGCTCTTAACATACTATTTAGCCCATAGTAGGTGCTTAATAAGTATTTCTGTCACTGTGTCATGCTGGCTCAATATGCTTTCAGCATATTGTACGCCTTAGCCTTGTCACCTCTACAATGAAATGATCACGTTTTTGCCCTGACTCAGGGAATGGCGCCATTAAGCTGAATAATTTCTAATCTAAAGATGCATCTCTGTTAAGCTCTTTACATCTTCTTCGGTCTGAGATTTCTCATCTGAAAAAGATGCTGTGTCTCTGTAGGACCTTGTAGGAAAAGGCCACTAAGAGGTGGTTCAGTAAGATGGGCAGGGAAGAGGAAGAGGAGTAAGGAGGATCAATTCTGTATCTATTGAGTAGTCCTTGACAGCAGAATCATGGATCATGTCCTCTGTATTATGTCAGATGAAATCCCTGAAGTCTGTCTACTTACTTGAACGTGAATCCTGAGTCACTGATCCACTTCCACCTTTTTTGTGAATGCTGGTATCGAAGGCCAATGAAATACACCTCGAAGCCAGCTCTGTCCTGGAGAAACTTCTGGAAAGGAAATTAGGCCAATGTAACACCAAGTCTCACTGCTCCAGACTGAGACCGCAGATGTGACTGTCCCTGGTACAGTGAGGGGTTATTTCTCAGTTTTACAGTCAGTTCAATTACCCATCAATGAAAGGAATCGGTAATGTACAGAAGCCAAATCAGTGAATAATTCAGATCACAACAACAAGAATACAACACTTTGAAACGCCCTGATATATGTACCCTTCAAGACTCCCTCCCCCAAAACAATAACAAAACCAAGAAGCAACAGCAAACAATAAGCAATGACAACATTATTTTCTGGCTCAATCTATGTTTCCTGACGTATCCATTCTAAAAGAAGACACCTTGGAGTGATATAAAAATTTGCAAATAATACAGAAAAAGATAATCAACAACATATTGTAAACAGAGTTCAAATCCTGGGTCTGCCCTTGACTAGTTATCTCTTGGGCAAGTCATTGAACTCTCAGGATCTCAGTTTCTTCATCTGTAAAATGTGGGAGAGGGTCTTGGTATGCAATGAGTATCTTGAATACATACTGAGCACAAGTCTAGAATTTAGGTTCATAAAATTAGAGCTAGGAGCATCTTCAGAGATCATCTGCTCACACTTGCTTATTTTATAGATGATGAAACCTCAGGTTAGAGAGATGAGTGATTGACTCAAAGTCACACTGTATGTAATAGAATTGAGATTTGAATCCAGGTCCTTGATCCACTTTCCTTCTTTTCCTCTCTCCTCTTCTCCTTTTCCACATCTATTCTCTTCCTCTTTCTATAGGAGACCTCCAACCCTTAGAAACAAGCCTGTCACAAAGCATCTCTCTTTCAACCTATCATGCCCTAGTAATCCTATACAGTCCTACTCTGCCTGGCTCTTCTGTCATCCCATTTTAGGAACCACAGTATCACAGAATCTTAAAGTTGCAAGAGACTCCCTCATTTTACAGATGGAAAAAAGACTGAAGCCTAGGAAAACTGTGATTTGCCCACGGTCACACAGGCAGTAAGTCTTAGAAATGGGACTAGTTAATGTTCTTTCATTCTTTTTAAAATAATTCTCTTTTTATTTTATTTAAATTAACAAGCATTTATTTTCTCTCCCCGTGAGGAAGAGAAAAAAGATAAACAACAAAAAAGAAAAAAAAACAAAATAAAAATTTAAAAACAAAACAAATACATTTAATCAAGCAAAGTTGTTGTTGTTTGTCCTTTGTTTTCAACGAGTACCAATGACATCCAGGGTGACGTCTTGACTAATGCCTGAATTGGACTTCAGTGAGGCTGAGTTGTACCAAGTCATCAGCCTCACTCTCTCCTCCAGAGTCATCAGTAGCCAGACAAAAGTCAAGATGACTGGCAATGGCCTGGGAGGCATCAGATGGCCTTGGTATATTTGATGTCTGACCAAGCTCTAAGCGCCCCATAGAGCCTGCATCTGCACCTTCATGGCCATTGGAACAAATTGTTTTTATTCATCCATTCTAGTACTCTTTCTACTATATCAGGCAGCCTCTCACGTGACCTCCCTGATTCTCACATTCTTTCCCCTCATAATCTCCATCTCCCTTTATCTCCAGCTCTAGATGGAATGTCCCTCCTATTTCCTTTAGATAAGCTGGGCACACCCCTAGAATGCTAGGGCCATTGTCTTTCTTATAAGAAAAAGGCTAAACATTGAAAGTATCACTCCATTCACTGAACTTGGTGTGCACACCAAATGGGGATAGGGAAGAAGGTTCTTATCCCTGCTCCCAAAGAAGGTACTTCTATCCTAGCCAGGGGTCTAGAATGGTGTTCTTTTCCTCTTCTAGTATGGTGTTCTCACCAGCTCCTCTTTGTTGTTGATAACTGCCAGTGTAGCCCCTTCATTCAAGCATCGACTCTGACTATTGTTCCAGTTTTCTTCGTTGGTGGAGAAGAAATAGCATCTCCCCTCAAAAAGATCCCACCGAATGGGGCAGCCTGGAGGATGACAAAAGATTATAAAGGGAGACTGTGAACAAGCAGTCACTTGGGGAGGTGATGATCCATTAGGTTTTTGAAGAATTTGATGAAGGAAACAAATAGGGAACAAATAAGGGAAAATTCAGACCACCCCTATGGCACAGACCTGCTATTGCAGGTGTTTCCATACTAACTTTTTTTTCTGTATTCCTGTCTTAATTTTTTAAATAAATTGTGAGTTCCTTGAGAACAATGATAGCTTTAGTATTTGGTGCTTTACACATTGTATTTTTAATAGATGTTTGTTGAATTATATATTATTGTCTCCCAACCCCCATTAACCGGCAAACAAAGTCTGGAAATGGTTCATATAATTATTTGGAAGGCAAAGAGCCTGAAATTACATTAAAAAGTTTTTTTTTTCCTCCCAGTAGTCCAGGTGCTAAGTGCTAAGTGCTTGGATTTACTTAGGAGTAGTAAAAATGGAAAGGAATAGACAGATCCCAAAAACATTTTGCAGAAAGAATCAAAATGACTTAGTGATTGATTGGCCATAGGGATTGAGGAAAAGGAAGAGTCCAAGAGTCTGGAGACTGGGAATGATGTACCATTGACAGAAATTAATCATTTGGAAGGGGCAATTTAGTTTTGTGGGGTTGCTAATGAGTTTGGTTTTGAACAGATTATGTTTGAAGTGGCAATGGACCATTCAAGTGGAGATGTTTTAGGAAGGTAGGGGAGAGGAGGTGTTGTGAGAGGTTGGGAAATGAGGGGGAAGGAAAAGGATAAGTCGGGAAAGATAAAGGGGAAAGATTTTGAAGAAGCAGTTTGTAATACAACAGAAAGATTAAATAGAATAAGTTCAGAGAAAAGTCCATTATATTACACAGGAAGGAGGTCATTGGTGACCTTCTTATGAATAGTTGTAATAATACAGTTTGGATGGAAGGTAGACTGAAATGGTTAAAGAGAGATTGGTTGGTGAGAAAATGGAAAATAGAGAGAAAATGGCTTGGTTCACTAGTTTAGGAAGTCATCAAATAATAAGTACACTTAAACGTCCCTCATCTATAACCATATCTACTGTCCCTTAAGAAGCAGTATGGTACCTCTTTAGCAGCAAAGAGAGCATTGAACTTAGATCAGGAAAACTGTCTTGATTCTTCGTTCTGATGTTTGCTATAAGCCTAGTTTACCTCTCTGCCTCACTTTCCTCAAGTGAAAAGTGACTAAATCATAAAATTACTATTTTATTAGTAATCTCTCTTTTCGACTCTGTCTTCTAGTTTCCTTGAAGTCCCAGCTAAAATCCCACCTTCTGCAAGAAGCTTTTCTCAATCTCCCTTAATATTAGTTTCTTCCTTCTAATATTACCTCTAATTTGTCCCGTCTATAGCTTATTTGTTCATAGTTGTTTGCAAGTTCTCTCCTCACCCAACTGAAAACTTTTTGAAAGCAGGAGCTGCTTTTACCTTTCTTTGTATTTCCAGTGCTTGCATGGAGCCTGTCACATAATAGTGTCTAATAAATAAATGCTTGTTGACTTGTTGTTTTGAGCAGAGTTTTGTGAACCTTAAAATACATTCAAGTGATCTATGATTGTCTTTCTAATTATTCCAAGAAAAACTTCCAAAGCACCACTGACAAACAGCCAAAGAGCTCTAGGAGGAAAGAGGTTGGTTTATTAAGGTATGTGCATAAAATCTCTCTCTTTTCCCTGACAAGAAAAAAAAAATGTTTTCTTTTCCACTTGCTAATTCATTTCTGAGAAGCTATATGTCTGTTTTCATCCAGGTGATTTGGTAGACTAGGAAAGTGATTTGCATCTTAATATTTATTATAATTGAATTCTGCAGTGACAAAATAACTTGGATACTCTTCTTGAGTTTATTAGAATAAAATCACATTTTTAGTTTATACCAAAAAGCTTTCTTCTCTATTTAAATTGACCCTGTTCTCTTTAGTACTTGAAGTGATCTTGGTTCCTCTGAAGGGCAGTAGACAGAACTAAGATGAGATTTTATTTATAATATCATTGGAATGCACAGTATAGTACAGTAGTCGTACAGTAGTTGCTGAGTCATTTTCAGTCACATCTGACATGACCTTAAAACCCATTAAGTCCAATTCCCTTCATTTTACAGATGAGAAATTGAAACCCAAAGAAGTTAAGTTGGCTTGTCTAAGGTCATACAGAAAATAAGTAACAGAGCCAAGATTTTAACCCAAGTACTCTAACTCCATATCCAGTGCTCTTTATGTTGTGCCATGTGTCTTCTCTGGGCTTCAGTTTCTTCATCTGTCAAATGAAAGGGCTGTCTCTAAGGCCCCTTCCAATGATGACATTTTATGATTCTGCAGTAGTTTTGTTCTCTTTAAATGGTCATTCCTGAATTTCTTTATCTTCTTGCCCCTCTGTGCTGCTCTCTAATTTCCTACTTAGAAAGAGGAAGAGTACAGAAATAGAGAGAAGGAATGAAAGAAGAAATGAAATAAGAAAGGAAAGAAGGGAAGAAAGGGTGAAAACAAGAGTGGCAGTAACTTGACCATTAGGAGAAAAGGATGTCAGAAAGGGGATATTAAGAAGAGATCATCTGTAGTCCAAACCATTGAATCCAAGTGGTGATGGTTCCCCTAGAAGTTACCTGTTCTCCTGTTCTCTGGGGTGCTGTATCTGTAGTTCCCTTCAGAGGTGGCAGGTGAGGTCGATGGAACTGCAAATAGAAGCAATTGTTGGCCTTGACCCTGAAGAAGACTAGGACTCAAATCTTGGCTTTCCTATTTACTACGTATGACCTCTCTGAACTTCATTGTCCTCATCTGCAGAACAAGAGAGCTGGAGGTCTAAGTTGCCTTCCAGCTCTAAATGTTAATGTCTTTGAAAACCCAGCTCAAGAATCATATTCTTGAAGAAACTTTCCAGCCCCATCCCATACAAAATCTTTCTTGTAATTTCCTCAGCACTTTACTGAGGGTACTGGATTTTGTGCCCCATAGTTATTTTGCACGTTTATGCTTAGAGTTCTGAGTGCTTAGATGATGCTTATTTTGTAAACCCTGTAGCAATAGCTATAGCAGGGAGTGGCAATTGTGGACAAGTGGAATGTCAAGGTTCCAGTCCCTTGTTTTCTGATTCACAAGGTTGAGGTTGCTAAGAATGCTCTTGAAATGGCAGAAAAGAGACAAGCCGTGGAAGATGGTGGTGGTAGTTGATCTATGTGTCACTGAAATTACGCACCCTAGACTTCACATACATTTGGAATTGTAGAGTTATTTACCTAATGCATATTCAAAAAATGTTGAAATAGACTAACAAGGAGTGAAAGAGTTAAGTCAGGGGAGGAAGGGAAGGAATGGAAGGAAAGAGAGGGCAAGGGAGGAAAGGAAGAAGGAGGAAAAGGGAGAAAGGAAAGAGAGGAAAGAGCAAGGAAGGGGAGAGAGAAGGGAATTTGAAAACATAAGTGGCAGTGACTGGACAGTTAGGGGGGTAGGATGTCATGAAGGCGAGAATGGGAAGAGGTAGCCAAGAGATCAGACTATTGAAGTCAAGTGGGGACAGTCCCCCCAGAACTTACCAGTTCTGCTGTTTTCAGTGGTGGGGTAATTGGTGTTATCTTTGAAGGTAGCGGGAAATATCCATGGCACTGTAAACAGAACAGTTGGTGGCCTTAGCCCTGGACTCAATTCTGGACTTTCATAGTTTTTATCTGTGTTTCCCTGGAGAGGTTACTAACCTCTACAAACCTTAGTTTCTCAATTTGTGAAGGGAGGAGATGTCTCTTCCAATTCAAAATTCTATGAACTTTTTTTTTTTCAAAACCCAGCTCAAGAACTAGCTTCTATAAAAAAGCTTTCTTACATGACCCAGGCCTCATCCCCACCCAAATCACATCCTTTCTTTGAATTTCTTCAGCACTGTGCTTCACCAGTCAATACCACATTATAATTTATTGATTTTTGTTCTCTAGTTATGTCACATCCCAATTTTATGTCTAGCATCCCAAATTTATGTTTACTGTTTATTTCTAGAAAGCGCAATATACTGCCATTCCATTTTTTCTTATCTCCTGATTCTTTCCCTGGCACACATAAACATGCTCAAGTCTCTCCAATCTTTTCTTTCTTTCTTTTTTTTAAAGAAATTATTTTATGGTGGTTGATGAAGATAATCCATTTTTTTGAGCTTTATGTCCTATCTTGAAATCAGATTCATATTGTTGGTGTTGTTGTCATTTATTTGTTCAGTTACTTCCTACTTTTCATGACCCCTTCGACTATAGGACTTCAATACTGTCTGCTGGGTTTTCTTAGCAAAGATACTGGAGTGGTTCGCCATTTCCTTCTCCAGTGGATTAAGGCAAACAGAGGTTAAATGACTTGCCCAGAGTCACACAGTCAGTAAGGGTCTGAGGACAGATTTGAACTCAGGTCTTGCTGACTCCAGACCCAGCACTCTATTCATTTAGCCACCTACCTGCCTTTTTTTTTAAGTTTAAATTTATTTTTTTGATACATCCCTTTAAGGGACAACCCTATGTCTCCTTCTCTACAGCCAAACTTCCAGAAAGGGTCTTCTATGCTCAATGTTTCTCAGCTGTCATTCATACACATGGACTCCCACTCCCTTCTCAGTATGGTACAGTAACAGCAGAATTTCTCAGCCCAACTTTGTCCAAGGATAACCAAGTAGCTCTTATCTGCAAAAGTCTTTCCTAAATTCTCATTATACTTAATGTCTGAAGTTTTTAGCAATGTTGATGACTCTCTCTACTGCATAATCTTTCCTCCTTGGTTTCCATGACATGTACTTTCTTGATTTTCTTATTATTTGTCTAACCATTACTTCTCATTTTCCTTTGCTATACCCTCATTCTTCTCCTATATATTGTGTGTGGGCATTCCCTAAGGCTTTGTCCTGTGTCTTCTTCTTTTATCTTTCTATTTCTCAGGGAGTCCATCAGCTCCCATTTGTTCACTAACCACTTCTATGCTGCCTTTATCTCCCTTCTGTCCTTCAGTTCAACATTACTGCTTACTGTACAACAATAACAATGGTAGCAATACTATTAATGACTAGCATTTATGTAGGACTGTCTAAATATTTATTCTCACAACAACCCTGTGTGGTAAGTACTATTACTATCTCCATTTTACAGTTGAGGAAACTGAGGCAGAGGTTAAACTCTATCCATTATGCCACCTAGCTTGAATCTCAAGCTCAAAATACACAAAACAGAATTTATTATATTTTAGCCCCAATTTATCTCTCTTCTCAATTTTCCCTATTTCTGTTGGAAGTCACATCTGGTCAGCTACTTGGGTTCACAACCAGAGTGACATCCTTATTGAGAGAAGAGGAAAGTCTACTTTTCTCTCACCCCCCCCATATAATTATCCATCAACTCTTATTGATTAACCTCCAAGTATCTCTCCCATCCACCCTTCTCTGTCTTTTACCCAGCCTTTACTTTGGTTCAGAGTCTCATCACCTCTGGCTTGAATTATAGAAATAAGCTCACAATTGCCCTCCCTGCCCCAAGTGTCTCATCTCTCCGAAGGAAAGAAGATGACAATGGAGTGAGGCTAAAACAGGAAGAAATTCGACAATCAGTAAACAAGAATGTCAGGAAAGAGATAATGGGAGAGGTGCACCAAGAGGCCAATCCATTGACAGAGACATTACCTGTTGTGTTTCTTTCTGTGATGGTGGAGTTAGGGCTTTGTTCAAGGACAGGAGGGAATATCTGTGGCACTGGAGACAGAGTTGGTTGTTAGCATAAACCCAGAGTCTTCTCTGATGATCCCAATAACATGCCTCAACTCTGTTGTATAATACATTTCTCTCTGCCTGTCTATCTCTTTCTCCCTCTCTCTTAAAAGTAACAGCTCAAGCCTTTTCATTTTAGTCAAAGGCTTAATGGAGGTTGGGGATCTTTTGTGACAAGCCAGAAACTCTAAAATATTTTTTCTCTGTTCCTCTTCCTCTTCCTACACAAGGATGTCTTCTATAGTACATGGCCAGCCACATCCTTATTTGCTTTTCATCTCTGCGGGCACGGAAGCATATCTTACGGGTGAAGAAAAATGAGGGGAAGGCAGGAGAATGGCAGAAAAATCCTGGATGGGGAAGTAAATTCAGTCCTTCTCACCCTTGTCAGCCATGGCCATCACCAAACATCTCCTCAGTGTGTGCCAGATCCAGACCCCACAACTCCTTTGGATTTCCTCCCATTTTGACTATTCCAAATGATAATTTGAGAACAGCCAGCTGGGGAAGCTGGATTTATGCACAATCTAGGTATTCTAAGCCTTCCTACTGTCCTAGAGTAGGTGTAGGGCAAAGCCTTCCTATGAGAGAAAGGAGGCCATTTTTTCTTTTTCAGTCCAAATTAAATCTTCCTAGTGAAGGAGTCTGGGGATGGGGGTGGTAGTTGGGATTTCTCTTCTTCCATTCTATCCAATGCAACCAGAATTTATCAAATGCCTGCTGTGTGCTAGACTTGGGGAATTCAAAGACAAAACAAATAGTCCCTGCCCTCAAGGAGCTTACATTTACCCCGTAGACTCTATAGGTGTCTATAGGAGCAGCAGCAACAGTTGAAGACCATGGATATAATCCCCTCAGTAGCCTGGCAACCTGAGGATTTGCACTAGGGGACGTTATTCCATTCTGCTAAAATATGATTATCCAAGTGTGAATCATTCCAATCTGACACAATAGGGGACACCATGGACTTGTATGGTTGGGGAGGTTTTGGCATACTTAGTCAGTAAGTGGCAGCATGTAATAGTGAAAAGAATGGTAGGCACTTCAGTCGGGAGAGACCTGGGTTTCAATCTCACTGCCTGTATGACCTTGGGCAAGTCCCTTTACCTCTTCAAGTTTTGGTTTCCTCACCTGTAAAATGTGGGGGGTGGGGATGGAGTATTAGATCAAATGACCTCTAGGCTCCTTTCCAGTTCTAAATCGTAGGGCCCCTGGGCAGCTAGGTGGCACAGCGGATAGAGCACCAGCCTTAGAGTCAAGGGGACCTAAGTTCAAATCCAGTCTCAGACACATAACACTCACTAGCTGTGTGACTCTGGGCAAGTCACTTAACCCCAATTGCCTCACCAAAAAAAAAAATCCTAGGGTCCTAAATTTTACTCATATAATACGTCTCCTCACTATGGGAATTCCTGGTGTGCTAATTTCTTCCACAAGTAGAGATTGCATCCATTCCATAAGTTATAGTCTTAAAAATTTCCTGAAGCTTGAAAGATTAAAAACAATGATAATTTCAATAGCTAAAATTTATATAGTGCCTGAAGGTTTGCAATCACTTTACACATGTTATTTTATTTGATCCTCACAAGAACACTGGAAGGTAGGTGCTATTATGCCCATTTTACAGATGAGGAGACTGAGGATGATAGATTAAAAATCTCACCCAGGGTCACACAGCTAATAAGTGTCTGAAGAAGAATTTGAATCTAGGTCTTCCTGATTCCATGTTCAGCTCTTTATACCCTGCTATGTTACATGGCCTTTCTTAATTTAGGATGAATAATATAAAAATTGTGTATATACAAGGCAAATTAATATCCAATTGTGATCCCCTAACTGAAGGAATCTTTGTAATGAGTTTGCATCCTTTATCTCCATGATCTTATTTGAAATTTTCTGTCTAGGATGAATCAGTCTTAGTTCTTTGAGGACAGGGACATGTCTTTGTATCTCTCTCAGTTGTTAGTACAGTATCAGGCATGTAAATAGCAATAAATATTTGCTTATCAATAGTTTCTTCCTTTCATTTATCAGTCAATAAGTATTTCTTAAGCACCTACTATGTGCCAGGCCCTATGCTAGGCATTGGACATACAAGGAAAGGCCAAAGACAATCTCTGCTCCCAAAGAGCTCACAGCCTAATGAGGGAGAGGGCAAGCAAACAGCTATATATGAACAAGCTAACCTCGGGATAAATTGGTGATAATCAGCAGAGGAAGGGCACTAGCATGAAAGGGAATAAAGAAAAGTTTCTTGTTGAAGATGGGATTTTATCTGGGCCATGAAAAAAGCCAGGGTAGCCAGGAGGCAGAGATGAGGAGGAAGAGCATTCCAGGCATGGGAGACAGCCAGAGCAAATTCCTGGTGCTGAGATATGGGAATATCTTGCTTGAGGAACAGCAGGAAGGCCAGTGTCGTGGTGGTATAAGAAAACCAGAACTATAGGAAGGGTCTAGGTTGTAAAGGCTTTGAATGCCAAACAGAGGATTTTGTATTTGATCCTGGAGATGATAGGGAGACATTGGAGTTTGTTGAATATATCTTTACTGTTTTAGAGCTCTAGGGATGGCCAGATGCAGGGGAAGGGAGCTTCAGATTGGATAAGGAGTGAAGACTGCCTCTTGCACAATTTGTGACTCCTAGTAGCATTTCCTTCCTCATTTCTTCCTCCATTGGGTGTGGAATGGAAGCTTTGGGCCTAGGAGGAAGAGGGAATTTATAGTACCTTGCTTTTGCACTTACAATAAGATCCTCCTTCAGTTAAGATGTCTTTTATACCATGCCTCTGGTTATATAAGAAAGCTATGGATGAATCACCTCACACCCCCTGTCTACTTGGTGTTATACTACTTTGGTCTAACATAGTTATTATACCCTATGGTATGAGTACCCTAATTGCCTTACACCAGCTTCATAATTAGATAATACTGGATTGTCAAAATTCAAGAAAGAAAAACCCCAATTGCCCAGATAAATGGAGAGAATAGAAGGTATCAATATTTGGGACCTGAATTACCTAATTACACAGCCTTAATTTATTGAATTCTTCTCTATTCCACATTTCGTTCTATGTAGTATCGACCTAGACCTGTCTTGCCTAACATAGGCATTTGCAATTTCACAGACAGTTCTAGAGGTAAAGGACTGGACTTAACCTATATACTGAGTCTCCCATTCCCAGCGGAGTGGCATGGATAAAAGAGAAAGAGGTGGGAGGGGAACCAAGTACTTACGATAAAGGAGAAAAAAGGTTGTGCCAACAACTTTGACAGCCACAACAATGGCTACAGAGATGACCATATGCCAGTTTACATAGGCCATAGTAAATCGTGTAGGGAACCTACATGGATCAGAGAGAAGCACCGTTAGGCATACTGCTATTTGTTTTAATAGGAACTTCCCTCATAGAGATCTCGGAAAGTTGTAGGGGACAAGCAAGCTACAGATATTGAGAGGCAGCCCTGAGGGCAGATAGAGTCTCTGGCCTCACACAAAGCCTTTAAATCCCTCTCTTATTGCATTTCTGCCATTTTTCACGCCCCCCCCCCAGCACCTCACCTTTCCTTACTGAAGGGTAGAGATTGGAGACTTCCTCTCTCAAACCCTTTTATGGCCTCCCATCTCCACGGTGTGCCGTATTTAAATGGATTTCAGTTGAAATTTCTGTCTGACAAAAGTATGCTCACATTTTGACAACCTGGCCTAAGCTCTAGAATAATACCCCAGCCCCCAAAACACTTAATCTATACCTGTGGCATTGCCTCAAAGTTTTTGGAAATCTAGATTCCTCAAATACAAACACTAAAAGTGCCACTGAGACAGAACAGATAGGAAAACAAAATTCAAGAATCTATTGTCTTCAATAAACATATCTTGAAGATACACACAGTATGAAAATGAAAGGCAGGGAAAAAAATCACTATGCATCAGAAGATTCCAAGAGAGCAAGAGTTGTTATCAGGCTACCAGAGAAAACAAAAACAAAAATTCAAATTATCCAGAGAGTTAGAAAAACTACATTATGTTTAAGGAACTATCACATCAGTTCTGTATGTATGTACGTCAAATGACACAGCATCTAAATTCATAAAGCAAAATTTAACTGCATTGTAGAAAGTGCCCCTAACAGACTGAGGAGGAAGCTAAAGTTTTGTAAAGGAAAAAAGACTTACCTAGTACCTCCCTCTGGGAGGCAGCCTGAGCTGGGCTGTGCTCAGAAAAGCCCCCTCCCCCCAGCAGGTGGTCGTGTCTCTGGGAGATTCCCGCCCTCTGATCTTCCACTAAGTTAGGATGCTGCCTCTGAGACCATCTCTTCATCTTGGCAACATCCTTTGCTTCCTGTACCTCTTCCTCTTCTGGCTTTTGGGAGTGGAACGAAAGGCGGAGGCCAGCCGTGGGGGAAGAGGCAAAAGGTTTTTTTTTTTTTAAACCCTGGTAGGCAAGTGGGGGAAAATACCTACCAGAAGGATGAGGAAAGGGGCCCATGTGCTTGAATCATGCTCTTTGCAACCTTACTGTGACTGCTTTGAAAAGAAATCCAGGCATTTTCACTGAGATTTGTAACCTTTTGCTCACATGAGACATGAAGGACTACTTTCTCCAAATTCATGCGAATTAAAGTGATTCAAGTCTGGCCAGGGCTAGAGTATTTGAAATATATATATACATATATATGTATATGAGTGTTAAAAGTACTACCACTCAGACTGATGTTTGAAGTGAGAAGGCAGTGAGATTTGAGGAAGTCTGGTAGTTTGGGGGTGGGATAGGGAAAGCACAGAAGTGAAGAAATGGAATAAAAAAAAAGAGAATCTTGAAGTTAGAAATCATGACTGATTGAGTCAGTGAGGGAAAATGACCTCATTTATCTTGCCCTCAGTTTCCTCATTTGAAGGCAGTTAAGTCACATAGTGGATAAATAGTGTTGGACTTAGAGTTAGGAAGTATTCGAATTCTCCCTCAAACAATAGCTGTCTTAACTCTGAACAAACCACTTAACCTCTCCCAGCTTCAGTTTCCTCATCTGTAAAATGGGAAAAATAATAGCACCAATATCATGAAACTATCATGAGGATCAAATGAAATAACGTAAAACACTTAAAGATATGTGTATATATATATGCTAGTGATTGTTAATAATAACAATAATGTTAATTTTTAAAGTTATTAAATTTGTTGGTAAATATATTATTTGTAATATTAATAACAATTACAATAATAAAATAAGGATACTGGAGTATAGGATCTTTTTTTTTAATTAAATTTTATTCTTTTTCAATAAGCCAAAAGCTGCCTTTTCTTCTTTCTTCCCATTTCCAAATGAGAAAGAAAGAAAAACAAAACCTTGCCATAAACGTGTATAGTCAAGCAAAACCATTTTCTACACCAGCCATGTCTAAAAAAAAAAATTCAATTCTACATTCTGAGTCCTTCACCTCTCTATCAGAAGGCAGATAGCATATTTCATCATTAGTTCTTTGGAATCATGGTTTGGTCATTGAACTGAACCAAATTCCTAGGTCTTTCAAAGTTGTTTGGCTTTACAATATTGTTGTCATTATATAAATTGTTCTCCTGGTTCTGCTCACTTCTTTCTGTAACAGTGCATATAAATTTTTCTAGGTTTCTCTGAAAATATTCCCTTCATTATTTCTTAGAGAACAATAGTTCCATCACATATATCATAATTTTTCAGTTATTCCCCAGTTGATGAACACCATCAATTTCCAATTCTTTGCTGTCACAAAAGACCTATAAACATTTTTGTACTCTTAGTTTGAATTTATTTTACTTAGATCTAATCCCTCCCTTAATCTAACTGTCCTCTAATTATCTCTTCTTCCTTCTCTCTTTTCTCTTCTATTTCTCTGTTGAATGAAATGTATTTCTTTTCTCAACTATGTGTGTGTATGTATTTATGTGTCTTTTCCTTTTTTGACCAGTTCAGATGAGAGTGAGGTTCAAGTATCAGTGATCCCCATCTCCCCTAATTTGCATAAACTGAAATATATCTAAGCTTTTTTTTTTGTCATGGCCTTCAGGTAATCCAATGATTCTTAAAAATTATATCTCCTTGATTTGTTTTTAAGGTCAATTTGTTTTTTTCTTAACTATATCTTCTTTTATTTCTTCAGTCTTTTGACTTTGTTTTTTTTTTAATTTTTCATCTCATGGAGTCTTAAGCTTCTACTTGATTCATTGTAATTTTGTACCTCTTGTACCAAGCTGTTCATTCCTTTTCTAATTTTCCTTCTATAGCTCTCATTCCCCTCAATTATTTTTCCTGTAGCAGTCTCATTTAATTTATTAAAATTTTTTTCTTAACTCTTTAAAAATAATTTTTAAAAATCCAACCCACCTCTTGCTTCATCTTTTCCAGAAATTCTAGTTGAATTTGTGCTCACACCATATTTTTCTCTGATGGTTTTTGTATAGATGTTTTGGTGTCATGTCTTCGGGATTTGTGTCTTGAACTTCCCTGCCACCTCAAATAGTAGCTTTCTATAATAGGATTCTTTATCTTTTTTAATTTGCTCATTCTTGTCTACTTTTTGACTTCAGACTTTATTAAGGCCAGGTCCTGTGCCCTTCCAAAGGGAATATCTGGGCTTGTTCTGCTATTTTCTTGGAGATATTGAGTACTGTGTTATTACAGAATCTCAGGTACAGCTCAGACTTGGGACCTGTAAGCTTTCAGTCCTCCCAAAGAAGTCTAATCTAGGGTAAAGTCGGCTTGCTGCATCCCTGATCTGAACTCTGCATGTTCCTGATTGACAGGCCTGTGGGCTTACCCCCTCTGGAATTTTAGTAGACTGCTGTTGGACTCAGTTACTATTTGCCAACTGGAAAGTTATAAGTAACAGAGCTTCAGGCTTCCCTTTGGTATGGGATTCCTGTCCTGATTACTCCTCTTCATGTTTTAGATTTGTCTGGAAGCTGTACCCAAGTCTTTACTCTGCTCCTGGGGCCTGAGCCACACTGCTGCTATTTGCTTCTGAACTTCCTCCTTGCCCAGCACACAGCTTGGACCTGAATCTGCTCCTCACCCTGGATGCCACCCTGAGGCACAGGTCCCTTCCTTAGTCCACCTTGGATTTATGACCCAAAACTTGTTAGTGAGTGACAGACCTGCCAATTGGCATCTGTACCTGCACCCTATGCAAGTTTGGGTCCCTCTGTACTGGATCTGGGACCTCTTCTTGCCCTGTGCACAGCTTCTCCCTTGCTCTGGAATGTTCTGCAAGGTATGAATCTTCCTAGACCCTTCATTAATATCCTTGCACCTGACTGTCACCCTATGCTGGACTGGAAAAATGACTCACTGTGATTTTTTTCTTTAATTTCCAGGTCAGGATTCAGTCAGGTACGTTTTCTAGATATTCTTGGAGGACTTTTTTTGTATGCTTGTTTGTCTGGAAGGATGGGGTAGGGGAGCTTGCTATATTTCTTTCACTCTACTATTTTTTTTAATATAAATTTATTTATTTATTTTTAGTTTTCAACTTTCACTTCCATAAGATTTTGAGTTCTAAATTTTATTCCCGTCTCTCCCCTCCCCCAACCCCAAGACAGCATGTAAATTGATATAGGCCCAACATATACATTCATATTAAACCTATTTTTACATTAGTCTTATTGTAAAAGAGAATTAGAACCAATTGGAGAAACCATGAGAAAGCAGAAACAAACAAAAAAAAAGAGAGCAAATAATATGCTTCGATCTGCATTCATACTCCATAGTTCTTTTTCTGGATGTGGACAGCCTTTTCTATCATGAGTCTTTTGGAGTTGTCTTAGATCCTTGCATTGCTAAGAAAAGATAAGTCTATCCAAGTTAGTCATTGTATAATGTGACTGTTACTGTGTACAATGTTCTCCTGGTTCTGCTCTTTTCACTCTGCATCAGTTCATGTAAGTCTTTCCAGGTTTTTCTGAAGTCTGCCTGCTTATCATTTCTTATAGCACAATAGCATGCTACTCCACTATCTTGGTTCTACCTCATCCGGCCTATGAGATCTTTTGAGTCACCTCAAATTCTAATAAATTTCTATGGTTTTATGTCATATGTTCGTTTGTGTTGTTCATTCATGTGTTGTCTCTCAGTGATGGTCCTATGGCATTTATCTTGGGCTGCCTTTACCAGAAAAAGAGACTATCTTTCTAGAGAAATTAAGGGGAAGAATTCAAGAGAGTCGAGGTTTAAGTGGCTACAAAACTCTTCTCCCCTTATACCTAGAATTGTATCTGAGGCTCAGATGGACAAATTTTTGATTTCTCAATAACTGGAAAAACTCCAGAATTGTACTGCTGCTAGAAGTAAGTGTGAGCTAGAAAGTGGCTATTAGCACTTTTATAACTATTAGCAGCCTGCTTTTTTATTTAAACTGTGCTCTGCCAAAATAATAACTACTCTTACAAGGAGAAGCTTTATACAAAAATCTCCCCTTACTGTACTAAAACAAGCTTTGTGAGCTAACTCACTGAGAGTGTGCATGTCCCTTGATATTGCAGGAGAAATTATAAGACAGAAGAACTGGAGGAGACCCGAGGGGGATTAGGGTATGGGGAAGAAAGGAAGAACTATAGCTAGATCCCATGTTTACAGAACAGATCTATTGGATAGTTCTATCAGAAAACATCCCTTGGGGCAGCTAGGTGGTGCAGTGGGTAGAGCACCGGCCCTGTATTGAGGAGGACCTGACTTCAAATCTATCCTCAGATATATAACACTTACTAGCTGTGTGACTCTGGGCAAGTCACTTAACCCCATTATCTAGACAAAACAAAAAAAATTCCTAATGTCTAGAGCTCTCTCTCTTTTGGGGCTTCTCTGTGTCCAAATCATTTATTCTGTTTTTCCTCAATACTTAGGCACCTAAGATACACTGTATGTATGCAGAACCAACTTTGAAGAACTGCTGCCCCAGGGGCTGGTATACTGCCACTACTTTCTGCTCTGTACTCTTCTCTCCCCAGGCATTCGCTTTAAGTCATGTTCAGTTCTGGGCAAACCTACCTCCATTGAGAGGGGTACTCACACTTTTTTGGCTGAAGTCCCACTCCCCATATATTTAATTATAATAAATTAGATTAGAGCTCACATCTTGGACCTCCCCAAAAGGGGTGAGTAAAAAAAGGTATACAATATACAAGATGAATCAGGTAAGGGACAAGTAATTTATTCCTACACACACAAAAAAGAATACAAAACACAGAATACTCAGAATGTGCTCATTTGACCAGAACAAATACATAACAAGATTCAGTAACTTAACCTATAACTACTGTTACAATATGTTGGGATACAGATATTTAAACCTCATCAGGACAAAAAGGAGTCTATGAGACTGCCAGTTAAGATTTTTACATTTCATCTCAGCTTGGCGCCATTCCAACAATTTCTCATATGTCTACCAGGAAAACAGCCTTGAGCAATCCTCTTGCTAGTGGGTGGCTATGTCCTGTAATGAAAGAGTTTCCTTTGTTGTTAACTGATGCCACTCTGACGGATGCTGCTATTTGGTGGACGTTGCTACACACACAGACCTTCTGACTTTTCAAAGTCACAAGGTCACCTTCTAACCTGTTCTTATCCATCTAGACGTTACTGCTCAGTCACACCTTTTAGTGACACTTGTGGAAAACCAGACTTGAACATTTAAGCTTCCTTCAGGACATTTCTTTAAGCTCCGTTTGGAGTGAGGGCATTTTGATAAGCTGGAAGAGGGAAACCAACATTCTGACCCCAAGGTCAGACTTATCATATATTCACTGAAAACTTTGGGAGAAGCTGGGACATAAATTACACACACATACACACACACACACATATATATATATATACACACACATATATATGTATATACACACACACACATATATATATACATACATATAAACCTTATGCACAAGTGAATGTTTCTACTTCTTATTTATTTGTTTTTTCATTCATTCATTCATTCATTTGTGTGTGTGTATGTGTGTGTATGTGTGCACGCGCATGTGCACATGTCTAGGCTGTCTATTCTATCAAACTGAAGGCTTCCTGAAGGAAAGAACCTTATGATTCTATTAAAAATGATGAGGTTTGGGAAAGATTGTACAGTGCTACCGAATCATATATTTTCAAATATCATTTCACTAGTATAAGGACTTGCCCCTATATAATAGGCTGTGTTAAATTGTTTTTTTTTCTTTCTTATTATGCCTCAGAAGACAAGATTTGACTGATGGTCTATCTGACTCCATGTTGTAAAGGGATCCTATCACACCCTGGAAATGGCAGAATATTATCCACTGATTTTTTTTTTCAATTCAGAAGCAAATACAGGGTACAAGTGTCATTCTGCCTGCTTAAATTGCCCATGGAGCTTTCTTTGTGTTATTGCTAGAATTTCTATCTTTCTTCAAGGCTTACCCCCTATTTAATCAAGTCCTTTCTAATTCCCCTAGTTCTCTCCTTCCGTATATTAGCTAGTAGTTATTTGTTATGTTCCTAAGATTATAGATTTGGATCTAGAAGGGGCCTAAAAAGCAAATTAATCAATTTCTTCACTATACAGATGAAATCCAGATGGGTTAAGTGTCTTGCCTGAAGTCATGAAACTGGTAAATGACAGACCTGGTATTTGAACTCAAGTCCTCTGACTTCAAATCCAATTTTCTTGTCACTATACTTTTTATGTCTCCTATTAGAATGGAAGCTCCATGAAGGTAGGGAATGTTTTTTCTTTTTCTTTTTTGACTTTGTTTCCCTAACAGCTAACATAGTATCTTACAAATAGTAAGTGCTTAATAAATTTCTTAAAATTGAATTCTTCCTTGGGCATATCCTGGAAAGTTTGTCAGGTAAGAGGAGAAGATTCCCATCTTCTGTTATAGAGAAATAGACATAGACATGAAGAAGCTCTCTGTGATAGAATCAGTTTCTACTAGGGTTACTTATTACCCTGCCATGTATGCTACACTAATTCTCTCCCTAAAAGGCAAAGAAGTCATCTCTAAGAAGCTGCAAAGTGGTTGATGCAGCTTGGGCTATGTTGACATGGTGAACTTTTTCTTTATCTTGTCTGGAACCAGGCCTCCATACCACTTTCAGGCCATATCCTCACCATGCTGCTTATGCTCCTGCCTTTCTCCTCATTTCCCCTCAATGCAACTTTGGACTCTGCCCCTAGGCGCCATCTTGTCACAAACCAGGTTCCCATACCACTTCTTAGCCATCTTCTCAACATTCTACCAGGTATATGATTCCTGCCTTATAGTTCTTCTTTATATATTGTCTTACCTCATTAGACTGTAACCTCCTTGAAAGAAGAGACTTGAATTTATATCCTTAGTATTTAGCATAGTGCCTGGAACATAGTAAGCACTTAATAAATGCTCTATCTATCTGATCTAATTGCATAAGAAAGCAAATCTGGAATGCAATCAGGCAGTGAACATAATCTGCCCTATTAATCAGACAGGTTTCTGTTTAGAAATAGAGTTTGGGTGGTGTGGGATGGGGGCAGATCATCTACCAAAACTAAGTGTTGTATCCTTTCTATGCTATGGCTATATAAATAATCCTGCTTTTGTTAGCTATTGAATGACTTAATAGTGTCTCATTTCATTCTAACATTGGAATGAAATGACCAGGGGACTGGCCTGATTGAGGCTCAGCCTATACTCCTTGCTCAAGGTCAAAGTGTAAATCCAGGTATAGGAATCACCTACTCAGGTCTTGCAAAAGCTAGACTTCTCCACTAGACTATGTATACCTTTAGAAAGCACTGAACCCAGTGCAAATGTTTTTGAGAGCTCTTTTCAACTTGGTATTGTTGAGAATCAGAATGATTGAGTGCATTGAGGGGGAAATACCCATTAACCCCACACATGCAATCTCCCCAGTCTTGCTGGAAAAAATTATGGTCAGGGGAAGGAAAGCTAGCATAGCTACAAATCCTATTACATAGAGAAAAAGGAAGGAAATCAAGGATTTGAGGGCAGTGATGTGGGCCTCCAGGCTGGGGTCTCCAGAGCCAGTATTTTGAGCTGTCATTGTCCTCATGTGTCTTCCCAGGGAGATGATAAGGATGGTAGAAGATGCCAGGAAGAGCACGAAGGGAAAGATGCTGCCCAAATTGCAAAGAAGGTAGAAATAGGAAAAAATGAAATTTTCCTTTATACTTTTCTCTGTGATGTTCCCAGAGAATGAAACTGTAGAGTTGGAGTAGAATGAACTGAAATGTTTCCACATGCAAGGGATGATGCTGATCCAAGGGAAAATCAGAAAGCCCAGTAGCAGCTGAGGTATAGCCATGAGGAACCAGCCCTTAAGCCATAGGAGAGACTCAGGCAACCTTTGCACAGTAGAGAATGCTAAGGCAGGTGGTGATCCAGAAGCTGGTTTGGTTGACAAGCATCCAAAATAAGACAATGGTTGTGTACTGATGTCCAGTGAGTCCATTATCACTTGGAAGTAGGTGAGGTGAATGGCATCCATAAACAGCAAACACTGTAGGAAGATCCAAGAGGTGCCAAGGCTTAGCAGCACAAGGTCACTTTTGGACAGCTGGTGCCTCCTCACTAGGTCCCAGGCATTCACTAGCACAACGAAGCCATTGATGAGGATGCCAACTACCAGCTCCAGGATTGAGAAGAGAAGATATGTCCACGTGGTTTCATAGGACACTGGCATTACTCGGGTCAGGTGGATAACTCCAGGCAGAACAAATACAATAGCTTTTCTCAGAACAGAGTCTGAAGGAGGACAGTCTAACTATACTCCTTACAACTTGGACTTAATCTCTCCTGACCTGGAAACGGAGGGGAAAAGATGTGGTAAGGCTGGTAGGCACAATGAACCGACAGCTGAGCTTGGAGTCAGGAAAACCTCAGTTCAAATCCTGCCTCAGATACTTAGCACCTATGTGATCCTGGGCAAGTCATTTAACCTTTATAAGTCTCAGTTCCCTTATTAGTAAAATGAGAGGGTTGAAAGGTTGAACTTGGTCATCTCCAAGGTTCCTCTCAGTTCTAAATCCAAGATCCTGTAAGGATGCAGAAAAGCACAGCTCTTGAATTTTCTTTAGGGTATAGGATGTTTGGGTTTTATCTTTCCTGTTTTCACAAAGACCAGGCTCTGGATGCTCAGGTCTTCAGATGTCAGCTCACAGGTGATTTTAGAACTTTTATCAAATTGAAGTGCTTCATAGGATACGGTTTCACCAGAAGACACTGATGTGGGCATGCAAATAGGAGAATGTCTTGATTTCCTAGGCCCAACTGAGCATATGTCCACTAGACAAGTACACATGGAAAAAAAGATCGTAATTTGCTTATTGATTCTCATGGGAAATGACAGGATGCAAAGTAAGTGCTCTAGAGGAACCTGATATGAAACTATATCCCTGTTCATTTGCATGCATTTCATTAGGTTCAGGACTTTCTTCTTTATTGGAGGATAAACAGCCTACAATTGAGATCAGAGTTTTCTTTCTCTGGGGCTCCATTGGGAAACTGTAGTTTTAAATGCCACCATCTGAGGGCTTTGAAGGTCCCTCTTGTGGCTGTAGGATGTCATCTTTTTATCTCTCAGGGCCCTTGCAAGGAGTGTTTTGTCAGTCTTAAAGCAATAAAGGTGGTAGTTGTAGAGTTTTAACCAAGTAAGGTAAAAAGCCACTCCTAGGACAGTGTTCTTGAGTGCATTTTAAGTAGTTCAGCACACTTTTGGTTGCAACCAAAAGATTTGAAGTCAGATGACTTGGATTAAAATCTGATCTCTGCTATTTACCTTGGGCAAATTACTTAACCTCTCTGACCCTCAATTTCCTCACCTGAAAGTGAAGAAGTTGCACTAGTTGACTTCTGGGGGCCATCATGATTCTAAATTTGTAATGCTAAATGTGAAGATTTATAATAAAATTACACAGAGACAAGCAAGCACAAGACTGCTGAATAGATGGTGTTCGATCTTATGTACCAATTTATGTAATCAATTCTTTTTTTAAAAAAGATAGTTTTATTGATTTTCCCATTTCCTAAATTGCCCTATATCACTGCTTCTCCTCCTTGAGAACCCTTCCTTATAATAGATAACTTTTTAAAAAGAAATACAAAGGGAAAGAAGAGAAAGTCATCAAAACAAATCAACACATTGAAAACTATAACATTATATATAATACTTCAGACCCATGACTCTTTCTCTCTTTCTCCCATTTTCCCTGCTGCCTCCTCAAAGAAGTGCTTGGTAGTGTCTTCTCACATGCCTTCTTTATGGCCAAACTTGTTCTTTGCAATTTTGCAACATTCAATTTTGAATTATTTTTCTTTCCATTTAGATTATTGTAATAATTATGGATATTATTTTCCTGGCTCTGCTTACTTCACTTTGTTTCAATTCTTATGCCTTCCTATGTTTCTCTGTATTCATCATGCTTCTCATTTCATTTATTCAATAAACTATTACAGCCTTATATCACAATTTTCTTAGCTATTTCCCAATTTAAGGGCATAAAAGTTTCCAGAACTTTGCTACCATAAAAATGGCAGCTATAAATATTTGTGTGCATGTGTAGCCTACCTCTGTATGTTTAGCTTCCTTAGGATATATGTTTGATGATAACATCATCAAACAGAAAGATCCAGAAACTGCCAAAGAGAATGCTATAGTGATAATGTATGTTGATTTTAGCAAAGAATTTGATAAACATTCTCATGACATACTTGTGGAATAGATAGAGAAGTTTAACCTCAATAATAGTAGAGTTGAACAGATTTGTAGGTAAACAATTGAAGATAAAGGAATATTGGTTAATACATTGATGACAGTGTTGAGTTCAAGAACGTGTGCCAATATATTATTAATTTGCTTCTTCCCACCTTTTTTTTTCTTGTGTCACATTTTAAAAAAATTTTTTATTAATAAATTTATTTATTTTTAGTTTTCAACATTTACTTCCACAAGATTTTGAGTTCCAAATTTTCACCCCATCTCACTCTTCAACCCACCCCAAGATGGCATGCATTCTGACTACCCCTTCCCCTAGTCTGCCTTCCCTTCTATCTCTCCTCCCCCTTCTCTTATCCCCTTCCCCTTCTATTTTCCTATAGGGCAGGATAGATTTCTGTACCCCATTTCCTGTAAGTCTTATTTCCCAGTTGCATGTGAAAACATTTTTTTTAAACATGTGTTTTTAAAACTTTGGGTTCCAAATTTTCTCCCTTCCTCCCTCCCCACCCTCATTGAAAAGGCAAGCAACTCAATATAGGTTATAAATGTGCAGTTATGCAAAACACTTCCATAGTAGATGTGCTGTGAAAAACTAACTCTATTTCCCTTAATCCTATCCTGCCCTCCTATTTATTCTATTCTTTCTTTTGACCTTGTCCTTCCTCAGAAGTATTTGCTTCTGATTACTCCCTCCCCCAACCTGCCCTCCTTTCTATCATCCCCCTATTTTCTTGTCCCTTACCCCCCTATTTTCCTGTAGGATAAGACAGATTTCCATACCCAATTGAGTATGTATGTTATTCCCTCCTTAAGTCAAATCCTATGACAATAAGATTCACTCATTCCCTCTCACCTTCCCCCGTTTCCCCTCCGCTGTAAGAGACGTTTTGTATCTGTTTTTTTTGTGAGATAATATACCCCGTTCTACCTCTCCCTTTCTCCTTCTCCTAGTATAATCCTCTCTCACCCCTTAATTTTATTCTCCAGATATGATCCCTTCATCTTCAACTCACCCTGTGCCCTCTATCTATCTATCTATCTATCTATCTATCTATCTATCTATCTACATACATATAATTTTTTCCCTCCAACTACCCTAATACTGACAAAGATCTCATGAGTTACAAATGTCATCTTTCCATGGAGGAATGTAAACAGTTCAACTTTAATAAGTCTCTCATGAGCTCTCTTTCCTGTTTACCTCTTCATATTCCACTTGAGTCTTGTATTCAAAAGTCAAATTTTCTCTTCAGCTCTGATCTTTTCATCAAGAATGCTTGAAAGTCCTCTATTTCACGGAATGACCATTTTTTCCCCTGAAGGATTATACTCAGTTTTGCTGGGTAGGTGATTCTTGGTTGTAATCCTATCTCCTTTGCCCTCCAGAATATTATATTCCATGCCCTGCAGCCCTTTAATGTAGAAGCTGCTAAATCTTGTGTTATCCTGATTGTGTTTCCACAATATTTGAATTGTTTCTTTCTGGCTGCTTGTAATATTTTCTACTTGACCTGGGAACTCTGGAATTTGGCTACAATATTCCTAGGAGTTTTCCTTTGGGGATCTCTTTCAGGAGGAGATCAGTGGGTTCTTTCAATTTCTATTTTGCCCTCTGGTTCTAAAATATCAGGGCAGTTTTCCTTGATAATTTCTTGAAAGATGATATCTAGGCTCTTTTTTTGATCATGGCTTTCAGATAGTCCAATAATTTTTAAATTCTCTCTCTTGGATCTATTTTCCAGGCCAGTTGTTTTTCCAATGAGATATTTCACATTGTTTTCTAATTTTTCATTTTGGATTTGTTTTACAGTGTCTTGATTTCTTGTAAAGTCGGCTTCCAATTGCTCTATTCTAATTTTTAAGGATGTATTTTCTTCAGTAATCTTTTGGACTTCCTTTTCCATTTGGCCAATTTTGCTTTTTAAGGCATTCTTCTCCTCATTGGCTTTTTGGACCTCTTTTGCCATTTGGGTTAGGCTATTTTTTAAGGTGTTATTTTCTTCAGTATTTTTTTGGGTCTCCTTTAGCAAGCTGTTGACTTGTTTTTCATGATTTTCTTGCATCACTCTCATTTCTCTTCCCAGTTTTATCTCAACTTCTCTTACTTGCTTCTCAAAATCCCTTTTGAGCTCTTCCAAGGCCTGGGACTGATTCATATTTTTCTTGGAGGCTTTGGATGTAGGAGTTTTGACTTTGCTGTCTTCTTCTGGTTGTATGTTTTGATCTTCTTTGTCACCAAAGTAAGATAATATAATCTGACTCTTTTTGTGCTGCTTACTCATGATCCCGGTCAATTACTTGAGTTTTAAACTCTTTGTTAAGGTAACAGTCTGCTTCCAATGTGGAGAATGTACTGTCCCAAGCTTCGGGGGTTTGTACAGCTGTTTTCAGAGATACTTCTAGGGACCTGTAAATTTTCAGTTCTTCCAAGGTGGTATGATAAAGGGCGAGGTGTTTCCTCTCCACCACCACAACAAGCTCCACCTCACTGGCACTCCTCCTCACTCCAGGACCACCCCTCAGAACTGTGACCCAGATCCAAGCAGGGGCAAAGCAAGAGATTCTGATTAGCCACTCGATTCCCCCTCAGTCTGTGGGCCAGAAGCTCAGGAGATAGCTGCAGCCCGCACTTGAGACTTGTGGTTGACACCTAGCTTCTAACTCTCACCACAGTCACAAACTTTTCCTACTGACCTTCTTAGTTGTCTTTGGCATTCATGGGTTGAGAAGTCTGGAAACCACCACAGCTGCCCCCGATGCAGTTCTTTGAGGCCTGCTCCAGGTTCATTGTGGCCTGCGCTCCCACACCAAACTGAATTCCTCTCCCAGCATAGCGTGATATGCTTTTCTGATCAACCATCTGGGTTGTCTTGGGCTGGAAATTTGTTTCACTCTGTCTTTTTGTGGGTTCTGCTGCTTTAGAATTTGTTTAGAGCCATTTTTTTTACAGGTATTTGGAGGGGTTT